GAGAGAGAGAGAGAGAGAGAGAGAGAGAGAGAGAGAGAGAGAGAGAGAGAGAGAGAGAGAGAGAGAGGGAGGGAGGGAGTTCCAAGGAAGTCAAACCATTTCATGACTTTCATCTACAATCTTCTTCAGATAGTTCAATTTTTTGCAGAAGAATTGGTGACGCTCTTTTATGCAGAGTGTCAGTTTGCTCTATCGATTAAGGGCTTGTGTACTCAAAACCTCGTCAATTTCCTTGGCGTATGTGGCCAGAAATACAGCCGGGTGCAGTCCAGAAAGCCAGATTATTTCACCTTCCGGTTTGTTTTGTTTGTTGCCGGATTATTTCACCACAGCCAGATTATTTTGCTTGTTTCACGATTATTTCGCATGCCAGACTATTTCACATGCCCTTTTAATTTCGCATAGAAGCATGTGTTGGTCGTCGATTACATGACCTTACATCGTATCCGTCTCTCTTTTTTTGGTTGTCCGATCAAAAATTGCCCAATCGTGCGGTCAATGCGCCAATCCTTCGCACAATTCCTAACCGTTGATGAGCATCCTAAATGTGTTTGAAATTCGAATGAGATCGGGCGTCATTCCACCACTCACCACATGCACAAAAGACAAAATTTATGGTAGTGCATCTTTCCCTGTTCTAGAGGAAAATTCATTCGGATTTTGCACATTTGGTGAGTGGTGGAGTGAGGTCCATATATGTATGGTATCCGATGAGCCTTACTTAAAAAAAAAAAAAAAAAAAAAGGGCGGCGCCCTTAAGATGTCATTCTCAAACTCTGACCGCCCGCAGGTAATTCAAGGATTTCAGTCATCTAGCTCCATCTGGATTTGAACTCAGGTCTGCATTTCAACAGTTCATTGGTGTACCATGAGCCTTACTAATAGCTATTATATTTTTTGATAATTTTTGTTTTGTTTTTTTCCTTAAATTTGGAGAGGAACTTTGATGTGGTCCAGCAAATCTTGAATTGGAAGCGCTTTTTTCATGTTTAAAATTTATATAAATAAACAAAGATGGAGTGCTTTTTTTTTTTTTTAATCAGCGATCACGGCCACATGAAGAAGCGGAAAAAAAAGAGGAAGAAGAAGAAGAAGAATAAAAAGCAGGGGTCTTCAGCTATGAAGTTTGTTTACTCTCGTCTTTGCACGTTCAGATGACAGTTTGATGTCATTTTTGGAAAAGAAGAAGAAAAAAATTTGTGATGAAGCCTCCACAGAACGACAGCCCCCCCCCTCCCCCCGACGGACTACTAGCATCAAGCCTCTACTACGATCTGAACTTTATAAAGAAAAAAGGAAAAAAAAAGAAACCTCAGTTTTTTTTAAACTTTAATTTCCAGGTTTTTACGACAGATAGCCTTGTTACCTGTTCAGAGCGATATTAAATACGGAAAAAAAATTCGCTCTGCTCAAACTACTACTGCAGGCTGCAGCTGCCGGAAAGCGATCAAATGGCGTATTCGATATTTCAGGCTGTTCATATTTTTATGGCTGATAGGTTTGTGATATGTATCTAGCTGCTCGCAAGTAATCAAAGGTCAAACTAAAACAGTCAAAAGAACTCAAAACTAGGAAAAAAAAAGCCAATCCGGGAAAAAAAAGTAGATACATGTATGTAGCTAGATACATGTATGCAGCTAGATACATGTGTGCATGTATATGGCTGACATGGCAAGTAAACAAAGGTCAAACTAAAACAGTCAAAAGAACTGAAAAGTTGTGAAAACTAGAAAATAGCCAAACCGGGAAAAAGAGAAAGAAAAAAGAAAAAAAAAAGATGACAGTGGGTGTCGTTTAAGTGCTTACCTAAGTAAAAATGAACTGCGTGTCACTAGTTGAGTGATTGGCACCCAACTTATTTTCCACAATTCAAAAAGTTAGGGTTACTAACTATGCAAGTACAGAGAAAATTCAAATTATTCAAGTGTTTTTAATCGAGTGAGAGGGAAAATATTCAAAATAATAAATACTAATGACTAAATACTAAATGTGCAACTGGCCTAAGCTTTTTTTTTCTTTTTTTTCTTTTTCGGTTCTTTGTTTCTGAAAGGGCGACGGCCTTGAGATTTATAATCATTCAACTCACCGCTCTGAGGTAATGCAGAATTATTTTGTTCTGTTCATCTGATTGCATCTGGACTCGAACTTGGGTCTGATTCATATTTCAACAGTTCAGAGGTGTACCAACTGAGCTACGTGGCCCGTTGGTAACTGAGTTATAAGTATTGTTCTCTTCTTAACTCAGATTTTGGGCCTGCCATTTAACATTATCGCCCGACGCCACGTGTCTGTTTATCTGTTGCTCTTTCGGATTGATTGCTTTGATTGGATGGTCAGGTTCGAGCAAGACTGAAAGTCAGCGGACACAAGCAAACGTAAGAACATTTCAGCAAACAACACAACTAATTACATTGTGGTTGGGGTAGAGGATGCATCACCATCCGGGCCCCACTTCCCCTCCCCCTTGCCCCCACAAATAAGGGATCACCTGGAGAGGAATAATGAGCACCGTAATGGCTTCCTTTGGGTTGAAGGTGTGGGGGATAGCGTGCATGTTCACAAGAAAGAGGGAGAGAGAGAGAGAGAGAGAGAGGGGGGGGGGGGGGGGGGGGGGGGGGAAAAAAAAAAAAAAAAAAGGGGGGGGGGGGGGGGTTGAGAAGGGGAGGGAGGGGTCTAAGGGGGGGATTGGGGGGGCAGGGGGGGAGATGGCTGTCCCGCGGGGGGGGGGGGGGGGGGGGGGGGGGGGGGGGGGGGGGGGGGGGGGGGGGGTTGAGAAGACAAAGTAGAAAACAAGGCTTCTCTGATGTTGTTGTCTCTGCTGTTTGCTGTCGTCCATATTAATACAAATCTCTTTTCCCCTCCCTGTCATCCTTGTCTTCATCTTTTGTATTCTCCTTGGCCCCTCTCCTCCCCCCTCCTCCGCTCTCCATCTCTCTCACCGCATCTCTCCTCCCCTCCTGTTCTCTCTCTCAGGCTGCTTTGATCTCCATCTCTCTTCCATGTGCAATGTGCGGCCATAGCTGTTGCATTCTCCTTTTTTCGGTATTTCTTTAGCAGTCTGCCAAAAAGGCGTAGGGTAGTTTATTGCACCCCTTCCCCAGGGAATTCAGTGGAAGTATAATGGTTGGTTTCCCCCCTCTATGGGCAGGTGCAGTTTATTTCGACCCCCGCAATGGGCATGTGTAGTTTATTTCAACCTTTCAAAGATTTTCAGTCTTTTTACAAATTTTTAGCATGGATCTGCCATAGTGCTGGTAAGAACACCTACGGAGGGGCCGTAATCTTGCCCCCGTCGTACAACGAATGCGCGAGTGCTTTCCCCATCGGGGTGAGAATTAGGAGCAGATGTTTTTTGCGGCATCTGTTGAAATGGGAAAGGTGCATTGAGCCTCACTGCTCGACACCTTGAGCACACACACACATTGAGAGATTACACGAAATCCACACTGGAGTCCAGATATGTGCAGCTTAGAAAGTCCAACAAAGTATCACACTAACCAGTTTCAGAGATCCAGTCATCAAGCGCTCAACAGCGCAGAATTCAGCAACGCAATACCAGCACCCTCTCCTTGTCTTCTTCATGCATGCTTCGTTGTGCTTCATCGTCTGCAATAGTGCTAAACGGCATTGATTTTGGATCTGCTCATCTGGGCTGCACAGGGGCTGTTTTGGTGACAATTTACAACACACGCGCGCACACACACACACACACACACACACACACACACACACACAGACACACACACACAGATACACACACACTCTTTAGCTATCTATACTTTTTGTTATGGATAGATGGTTTGTTATGATTTGTGGAGGAAATGGGAGAGAGAATTTGGGGTGCTATAACAACACACACTCTTATGGGTTCAACCTGTTGATGAGTCGGTGAAAGTCCGACGAAACAGTCTGGCACAGTCGTGCTTTTTGGAGTGCATAGCGAATATGACAACACACTCTCACACACTCTCACACACTCTCACACACTCTCACACACTCTCTCTCTCTCTCACACACACACACAGACACACACACACAACCATATATGCATGTTCTTTCTCCGTTCCGTGAAACGATGAGGGGCAGAACACTAAACTACGGACTGCTAATCGCAGCACACCGCGTTTGACTCTTGTGTGCAGACCAGAGACGAAGGAGAAGATAAAGCAAACTATGGCGGTAACGTGGGAGAAGAAGAAGGAGATGAATATTGTAAAGAAGGCACTAGTGCGGGAATGGCGAGAAGAGATCGCCCTGTCAGCAAGAGTAGGGCTACCAGGAGATGAGGAGCTGAATTGGAATGCCTGGCACCGAAAGAAGGCGGCCATTCCAAAGGTGGAGAAGGACTCCACGGCATCAAAAAAACGGCCTACTCATTCAGAAGAGCACCGGCGCAGAATCTCCGAAGCTATCCGACGCAAGTGGGAAGATAAGGTATGTGTGCAGCACACGGTGAGACTCTTACCAAACAGTCTGTCACAGCCCCTCGTTTGTTGTCCTCTTCTCCCTCTCTGCTGCCTACGGTTTACCGGGCAGCAATTCTGTTTGACAATACATGTATCATGCACTGATGCAGGCGTTTTTTTTCTATGGAATGGATTTTTTGAATCTATTCTAATTACAATGTTTTTGGAGTCCGGAAGGAAGGTAATAGGTTCAAATAAGGAAGGGCTTACGGTGGATACCTAGGTACTCAGAGACGAAGAAGGGCGTAGTAAGCGACGAAATGTGGGAAAGGAGTCTAAGGAGTCAATTCCTAACATCATAGTAAGATGATTATTTTCATCTGATGATCCTGATTCACATTTCTTTTGGTCAGGACTCAAACTCGTGATGATCTGTTTGCTAACAGTTACATGTGTTTAGAAAGTAGTGTACAGTGCATACAGTCACATGGGCTGGGTGAATCATGCAGTTCTCTTAGTTAAACCACTAGTACCTTTGTCGGTTCGAAAATACTCGGCCTCCGACCTTTCAGGAGGCCGAAACGAAACGACGGCCGCCGATCAGATTTATCAACGGCGGGCTCGGCCTCCTGAAAGTTCGGGGAGGTGGACCAGTACTCGTCGAAAATAGGCTCGGAGGTACTAGTGGTTTAAGACCACTCAAAATTCCCTGCGTGATCTGCATCTACGTACGTGAATGAATTTGGACGCTTTTCTGCTGTAAGGGTGGAAACGGGAGAGGATTGTTTTCCGATAGTTTTAAGTCCCGGCCCGTTTTCACTGACGAATAGAGTCATGGCGAAGGTGCCAAATGTCAGGGGAGGTGGGGAGCGAAGCGGGCGGTATTAATTTTCTGTGCCACTGTGGGGGTAAAAAAGGAAAAAAAACGTCGTCATGCGAAATCATCCTGAATCCTTTTTTGTGTTGCATTCCTGTGCAGAGGAGATTGTAATAACACAAGCCACCCTCCCACATATCACCCACCTGCCCCACCCCTGGCCCTTCAACAAAGACACACACATACACACTCCCGCACTCGCTCATTCACGTTGTCTGTTTTTTTTTCTTTTTTTCTTTTTTTCTTTTTTTTTCTCTGTTCCATCTCTGCTGTCCGTGTGCTCTCAGTGTCCAACTGCAGCCATTGTTGAGAAGTGCCAATTAGTCGCTTCATATTTGTTTGGACTCTGGAGTGCCTGCGAGACTATTTATGAGTGGGGTTGCTGTGTTCGGGAGGCCTGTGTCTCTGTGTTTCCCTAAGGTGACAGACATTCGTCTTGTGCCCCCCTCCGCTGGCTCCTTGATGGTGGTGTCAAACCTACCATCTGTGGGGTTTTCCATGTGATGTGAGTAGGTGAGAGTTCACTTTGATCTTTGCTGTGTCGGTGAGTTTCTGTTTTGTAGTTGTTGCATTGCCGGCATTGCTGCCTCCCTTCGTGCCTTGCAGGCATGGCTTGCTTTGTGCCAACCTGCTCACCTTGCTGTATGCTGCGCCTTGTCGGTCGACAAGTTTTCACTCTGTCCTTTTGGGAGCTAACTTCTGGCTGTTTCATATGATTAATCTTTCGGCTATAGGCCCACGTTTGGGATCTACTGTGTACTCTCTTTACTCTCCCCTCTCCCATCTCTCCTCTCTCTCTCTCTCTCTCTCTCTCTCTCTCTCTCTCTCTCTCTCTCTCTCTCTCTCTCCCCCCTCTTTGTCTTCCTCTCGTCTGCTTTTGTCTGTTTATCGTCGCTGTTTCGCTTTGTGTCAATGGAATGCTCTTCGCTCTTGAATTTCGTAATTCGGGTGACGTTGTGAACGTCTCTAGTGCAGACCATGTTTATGTGTGTTGTTGTGTTGCTACGTGCCCGCCTGCCCACCCGCTATGCCTTGCTAGAAGTTGCCTTGTCCGTGCTGCTCTGCTAGCCTTGCTGTGTTTGCCCACTTGCAAAAGAAAGGGTTTTAAGCAGGGCATGAGTCAAAGGATTGCCGTGGGGTTCTGGTGACTGTCAAAGGTTCAGCCTCCTGACTACCGTCTTCACCCAAATAGAACACCCGACCATTATAGCCGTATTTGGGGCAACTTCCAGTCCAGATTCAGCGATAATTACCGGGCGTTCTATTCGGGTGAAGACGGTAGTCGGTGAGAGCCCGACAAAACAGTCTATTTGTTACTAACCTCTGTCGTTCTGTCTTGTGTGCATCTTTCCTTAGTGTGTTATCCTCTTGCCGGCTCTCCCGTCCTGTGTGCTTTGCCCGTATGAATGTGTCTATCGGTCTAAACCAGCGGAGTGCTTTTTGGTTTTCGAGGGAACTGCTGGAAAGTACAAATCGATCTGAGGAAAAACAAATAAGACAAATGACACACAGCGATCGGAGACCTGAGCCGCATAGTATGCAGAACCATAGCATATGGCATTTACTATTTATTTATAGGCGATACCCAATAAGCCACAAACCTGCCCTGCTATGCCCCTGGCCACCTGCCCACATGCATGAGCGTAAACACAATTATATGATGTGCAAACACAATTATATGATGCTTCGTTCGACTTGGGGTTTGAACCCAGGCATGGTTCTTGAAGTACCAACTGACTGATGAGTTAACCACTAAGGTAGATTGGGTCCCTGTCTTATTTTGGGAGCTTTCCTTTTTCAACAATCCCACGTTCGGCCTCTTTTCAGTTCTCTTTTTGTTTTTCTTCAATGCAAATTCACAAATTGTTCTTTATTTGGAAGTACCCGGTAATTCGACATGTATTTTTGTGTTTGTTTAAGGTATGTATCCTATGTTCTGCCTCTTCCCATTTGTCTTCACCCCCCCCTCCTCTCTCACCTCCCTGTAATCATATGATCTCTTCTTCATTGGAAATGGCCGACAGTTATGGATTTTTATTAGAAAAGAAAGACAACAACAAGCTAGTAAACATCAGGATGATGGGTATCAGCATAGGAACATCTATTGATGTACCCAATTGGCTTTTTGTTTTTTTGTCCCTTCCCCCCCCGCGCCCCCTCCCCCGGCCCCCGCCGCCCGCCCCATCCTTTGATTTACCCATTGGCTAATACTAGGTGGATGGAAAAAAAAAAAGGATGGTTGATGCAAAGTGTTCCATGAATTTGCAAAGAATTTTGTTATTGACATGGCTGTGCCGGCAACCGGCCGGTTGGACCCCCGGTGGTCCAACCGGAATTCCGGTTGGGCCCAAACGTGGGTGGATTTTCTTTTTTTTTTTTTTTTTTGAAAACATGGTTGGACTGCGCTCGCCGAGATCTCCCTGAATCCTCAAAGAAAAGAAAACTTTGAACAGAGAAGTTTCGGTTGGGGGGCGGGTTATTTCAGGGTTGGGGGGTTTGTGGTGAGGGTGTTGGTGGAGGGGTTTCAGCAACCACAGGCTTCAGCAGACATTGACAACAACGTACCTGGCTTTCTGCAAACGTTAACCTTCCGCCCAAAGACTTTGAAAAGGGGGCTGGAGGTGTTAGTGGGAGGGTAGGGACGGTACTTCCCACCCAAAAACTTTGAAAAAGGGGTTGGGGGTGATAGCGTTAGGGGGTGCTTGTCACTGCTATCTGGTCCAAGTTGCCCTCGATACTGGTAGGGTGATGGTCCTGAGTGCTGGTCACACTGAGGTAGGATAGTAGGGTTAGGGGGTGCGCTGGGAGCATTAACGTGGGGAAGGGTAGGGAAGGTGGCCTATCCTGTCAGCACAACCACCAGCTGCTGCTGCCAGCGATCGCCGGGGGTCTAGTCCTTGGCCTCTACAACACCCTGGGCCTTAAAAAAAATAAAATAATAATAACATAAAATAAAATAGAACAAAATAATAATAATAAAAATGATGCGCTACGGCCAACCGGGGGGGAACCAGCCCGGTCGACTGACCGGTAGGACTGGTGCGGTTCCGGTTGGGGGAGGGCCCTCCGGTCCTACCGGGTTTGTAGCGTTTAACTTATTGATATATTTACGAGACCTTAAAGAAAAAGCGAAAGCTACATACGGAATTGTTCTACTGTGTGCCTTTCAGCCACAAGTGCTTGATTTCACTTACGGAAGTGTGTACTGCTTTGATTTCACATGATGTGTTTGAATTCTGAATGAATCAAAGCACAATTTGTATGTTGTTGAGATGAACTGAGACAGGGCTACATCCTCCACAAATAGGTAAAAATCGGCGCACTTAACAGCCATTTTCTCTAACCACTGAGCTACCAGAGACCTTTCTATTGTCGTATTTTTTTGATAGTCTTTTATCATATGTTGTTGAAAAACATCTTGTCCTTTTACTTGAGTAGTCCACCTTTGTGTTCGGGAATTTTGGGATACCTTAAGTGTTGTACTTCATGCATAGAAACCTCTCTCTCTCTCTCTCTCTCTCTCTCTCTCTCTCTCTCTCTCTCTCTCTCTCTCTCTGCGTTATTTATCCGCCATTCATTTTGACAATCGTTTTCACATTCGACAGTTGCCAACATCCTTCTTTCATTTTTTTGGTCATTGCAATGATTTCAGGAGTACAGAGAGAAAGTGTATCACAGTATTTTGCAGAGGGCAGCAGCAGCGCCCAAAAGCGCGTCGTCGTCCTCGAGGTCGAGGCGGCCCAGGCCACAGCCAAAGCCGCGTCCGCTGAAGCCAAAGGTCATGAAACCTCATGTTAAGAAAATGACACCTGACGACGAGAAGGAGATGTGGGCTGTGTTTGTGGCGGAGGTGAGTAAATCGCCGAAGGAGGAGATACCGGGTTACGTTGCGGTGACGGGATCGCTGGCCCGGGAAACCATTGAGGAGAAAGTAGCGGAGGAGAGGGCGGAAAGGGAAAAACGAGAGCGGCAGATTGCCAGAAGGGAGATGAAGAAGCTGATGCACGCAGTGAGCGAATGTGAGGCGATGGAAAAGCTGAAAGTCAAACTTGCGGCAAAAGCACGGTAAGTTGAGTTGCCTCATTGTCTCAGACTCCCTCGCACGCCCGCACATGACTTTTGCAGGGGATGCTCGTAATGCCAACCATGGCGCTGAGTTCGAACACCCGACTCCTCTTTTTCGCATTCCTCAATACACTTTCGTTCGGCAGCATCTGCCCCGTACAACCATCTCAGGGTTTACAGAGTCATCGCCCTCCTTGTCCTAGAACCGCATATATAAGAATATATTTTTATTATTTTGCCCCTCGTTTGTTGTCCTCTTCTCCGTCTCTGCGTAAGCTTCATCTGGCAGTTCTCTATGGCGATGTGCCGCTATAGAGGACGCCCGGTGAACAGTAGGCAGAAAGGGAGAAAAGGACAAGAAGGGGGGGGCTGTGACAGACTGTTTCATCGAAGTTGCACCTGTTTAATCGAAGTTGCACCTGTTTCTTCGAAGTTGCACCGACGCATCAGGAGGCTGAACCCTATGTATATGTATATGTGTTATTATGTGGCATTCTGGGACTGTATAATAGTGTATATGTGATAGTCTGCTTTGATTTTCATCACAGGCACCCTTAAGTGCAGTGGTCTGTGCCCACCTCAGGGTTGCAATTGTTGTGGGAAAGTTGTTGGTGGCCAACTGCAACTGGGGTTAAGCTGGATTGTCACTTACAGTATCATCATCAGTGAGGGGGGCTCTACAGACTGTAGAGGGTTCAGCCTCCTGATGAATCGGTGAAACTCCGACAGAATGTCACACCCTTTGGTTTCTTGTCCTTTTCTCCCGTTCTGCCTACAGTTTGCCGAGCCCACACTTAGTGCATCTGCAACTTCACAGTTGCCATTCGTCAGAACTCGAGAATTTGAGGATCGCCCTTTTGGCATTTACCTTCTTCTGTCATCTTTCTTCTTCTCCTTCTTCTTTCTCCTCTTCCTCCTCTTCCTCCTCTTCCTTCTCTTCCTCCTCCTCCTCCTCCTCCACCTCCTCCTCCCATCCAGATGGCAGATCTGTAGCGTATGCATGTTATACGCACTTCTGTCTGTGTCTTGCGGAACGGCTTGGCTCTTTTGCGGATCTTCTTTGGATCTGATTATGTGGTTTGTCGTCTCTCATCTCCTGGCAGGATGCTGATGGCTGAAGCGGAGAGAGCCGCGCAGGCACTGGAAGCAGCGGCAGCAAATGGGGATCCTACAGTGGTCATTTCACTGAATGAAACTCGGCGGCTGCTCTCCGAAGCGGCGGAACAGGTTCGGCTTGCTGGGTTCGATCCCAGCCAGCCTATTGTGAGTATGCAGGGCGCCATGGACAATAAGCCTGTGGTTCTGACAAACTCTTTCAATAACTTCGCTGCCGCGGAGAAGAAGCAAAGGTTCACCAGCAGGTAGGAATAACACGTGACGTGACGGCTGCGCTCCTCGCGCGGAGTGCACCAGAAGAACATTTACGAAGAACAGCAGATTGACAGAAAATAAAACTGTTGGCCCAAGTTTTTGAAAGATGTTTGGCTTGGAAAAAAAAGAAACGAAAGATGTGTTAATACAACCTGATCTGTTAACAGTGTTGGTCGCAATGAAAAGAACAAAATGAAACTTGTTCAAACTTCAAAGTTGTTTTTCAATTGCTGTTTATTCTCCACGTCAAACATTGAGCACGGCAGTAATTTTTTGCACCACTGTTTCTTCCCCTTCTCTCTCTCTCTCTCTCTCTCTCTCTCTCTCTCTCTCTCTCTCTCTCTCTCTCTCTCTCTCTCTCTTACAACTACACGTGTGCGCACAGCGGCCTAAATGCCAGAGAAAAATGCCACCCCAACTCAACCCTCTCTCAACCCCACCTTTAACAATGTGCAACCCTCCTGCAACTCCACCTGGATATTCACTACCGTCTTCACCTGAATAGAATGCCCGGTCATTATAGCTGTATTTGGTGCAACTTTCGGTCCAGATACAGCAATAATTACCGGGCGTTCTATTCGGGTGAAGACCGTAGCCCCTTCCATGTTGACATCTCCCCTGCAAATTCACCTCCTGCACCTCAACCCGTTCTAGAAGGGGGCCAGCCTTGAGATGTCAACTAGCCTGCCCCACTTTATTCATAGTTATTGTCATCGAGTTTGATCTGGATCCGAACTCAGGTCTGTATTTCAAGGGTTCATGAGTGCACCAACTGATGTAGGCCCATTGATACTCCCTCTTTCTTTGATGCATATCTGCCCTTGCCGTCACTCTGTTACTCTGTCACTCTGTCATTGTGTCCGCCAGCCTGCCTGCCGGCCTGCCCTCCCACTGTCGCGCTGGCTTGCCTGCCTGCCGGCCTGCCCTCCCACTGTCGTGCTGGCTTGCCTGCCTGCTCGGCCACCCACCAACATGGACGTAAGCACAGAATCACTCCAGAACCTGGGTATGCCCCTTCCCTTGCTTCTTCTCCTCCCCTGAAGCTTTCTGGTTTCCCTTCCCATTATGCACAACCCCACGTGCAGTAACAGAAGTTTACGACCTCCAGTCCTTTCCCCCTGCGTTGGCGCTCGCGCTGTCTCTCGTGAACCCACCCCTTGGCACCTCCTCCTCTCTGCCCTGACAATTCCTACTGTGAGGCCTCTTTGACACTCCCCTCCCCCC